ATCTTAGCACATATTACAGAGGCTGGAACTAAACTCCGATAAAAGTTATTGTTCTGGGGCCCAAGCACCTCTGTGACGCATTATCTAAAGATATAGTTTCTCTTGATGGGATCTTCTTAATCTTATCTTAAAGAGCTCATAGTCATGGCAAGTCCCTCTGAGGAAGGACCTGCTGCTGAGACTTACTACCCCACCAGAGCACTGCGCTCCCAGAATGCAGGGTTACTTGTGGTTCCTAGGTTCTCCAAAAGTAGACTAGGAGCCAGAGCTTTCAACTATCAAGCTCCTCTCCTGTGGAACCAGGTTCCAGTTTGGGTTCAGGAGGCAGACACCATCTCCACATTTAAGAGTAGGCTAAGACTTTCCTCTTTGGTAAAGCTTATAGTTAGGGCTGGCTCAACTGAGTCCTGAACCATCCCTTAGTTATGCTGATATAGGCCTAGACTGCCAGGGGATTTCCTATGATGCACTGAGCTCCTCTCTCCTCTTCTTTCTCTCCCTCTGTATGCAACCTCATCCCATTAATGCATGTTACTAACTCGACTTATTCTCTTTCCGGTAGTCTTGTGCTTTCTCGTCCCTCTCCTCTCTCCTCCTATCACTTCCTACAGGTTTTCTGGCTCTGGACCTGTGGAGTCTGGATCTGTGGTTGCGAGTCACTTGCTGCCCCCGTGTTCCTGCTCGACACCCTCTGCTACAATTATTATTATTAATCCTATTGTTATTATTGTAATTATAATCATTAACATTACGATTATTATCATTAACACTACTGTAAATATCTGTACCATTTTTCATTCAGTCTATAGCAACATCACCTTTACTGTCTGTACCTCTGTGTGTGTATATTGTATAGGCTGCCTCTCTCCCCTCTCTCTCTCCTTTCATCCCTCTCTCTCTTTCTCTCTGTTCCTCTCTTGCCCTCTCTCTCTCTCTCCCTGTCTCTCTCTCTTACCCCCCAACCGGTCAAGGCAGATGGCCGCCCACCCTGAGCCATGGTTCTGCTCGAGGTTTCTGCCTCTTAAAAGGAAGTTTTTCCTTGCCTCTGTCGACTAGTGCTGCTTTTGGTGGGAACTCTTGGGCTTCTGTAAATATCATCACAGAGTACGGTCTAGACTTGTGGCCTGTATTATGAAGGGAGTTCAACATACTCAGAATTAACTCGGGTTATCAGGCAAACTCAGGGTTGACAAACTCTGACCGCCTACACTAGAGTTAAACGGTACTACAACGGTGGATAAGATGTTTGTTAGTTGAGTCCGTGTTAACCCGGTGTTAACTTAATTGGAGTTATGTTTAACAAAAAAGAACATTTGTATATCAAACAAATAGGAGACTTATTAACAAATTTTAACAAAACTTTCTTCAATGCCATGCATCATGGGAATTTAGAGGGATGGACTTAGGCTGCTCTATATCACCCCGTCCCTCTGAATTCCCATGATGCATGGCGGTAAATGTAAATGCTCTCTATAGCGCCTTTCTAGTCTTTTCGACCACTCAAAGCGCTTTTACACTACATCTGCATTCACCAGTCATACACTGAGCTTAAGTGCTCAAACAGAAACTAACATTCACACATATTCATACGGAACAGCCGCCAGGGGCAATTCGGGGTTCAGTATCTTGCCCAAGGACACTTCGACATGCAACCAGAGGGAGCCGTGATTGAACCACCAAACTTCCGATTAACGGCCAACCCGCTCTACCGCCTGAGCCACAGCCGCCCCTTGAAGTCAAGAAAGTTTTTTCAAATTTGCTAATAATTCTCCTATTTGTTTGAAACACAAAAGTTACATTCTGATTTACGTTTTGTTAAACGTGTCTGCTTAGGAAATAGTGTTTTTTGTTGGTAATTGTGATTCTTGTGGTGGTTTACTATTGAAACCAGGAGTGAAGTGCCTGTTTCATTTGATAAGAACCACTGCATTGATAGGTATTCAATAGCGTAGTCAGAATACTACCTCCTGTGCCTGATATTGATTTGATTCACAATACTAATATATTATAGCTTGTGAATTTACAGAGCTGTTTGTTGTTAGAACTTGATACTAACAAAATGCGGTGTCCTTATTGATTTTCAGTGGTTAGTTTAAAATTCTGTTGTCAGTCTTTCTAAATGCAATCATTGTTTACATGATATTAAGTCTTTCACAGCATAATTCTTTGGCTGTTCATTTTATTCTTCAACAGCGGAGTAGACATCACAGAAAAGATGTTTATAAGCGAAACATGCCTTCTATTGGTGCTTAGGAGGCATTTTTTTTTGTCAGAATAAGACACATGATTGATAAAGAAACTTGAAAGCCTTCCCTTCACAGTGTATCTGAGTAGTCCGGTGGTTTAGGTCTTGCTCTGGATCCAGAGATTGATGGATCAAACCCCACTTACAGCATGTTAACGAAAATGGGCAAAACTTAACACATATGTTGGCTGAACAAGTGTGCAACACATCACTGAGTCTCTTAGCTGATGGAGCCACACATTGCACTGACAGCAGTAGCAATCGCAAAAAATGGCTGCCAGCTCTCACATGCATTTTATTAAGGAAATGCCCATTCCCAGTCCGCCTATAAAATTTTTCAGTGCAGTGAATCATCATTGGATCAATCTTATTAAAAGTTGTATAAAGCATGTCGATATCTCAATTACTTTTCAATATATGGAAGTAACTGAAACACGCCCTGAAAGTTTAATTCAAATTGAACTCCCGGGGGAGCTATAAATGCAAACAAACTGTGCTTAATGTACAATTTTAATGAGATCTACAGTATGTAAACCGTAAGGATATGCAATGTATTTAATGTTTAGGGGAGTGTTCAAGATAATATACCCTGTCTGGTCTGGCCTGAAAGGCCCTGGCCTAGTTGGACAGTTGTCAGACTGATCTGGGGTCTCATTTATAAACGGTGCGTACCTACAAAACAGGGCTGGAAACGTGCGTATGCCACTTCCCAAGAAAAGGTTGTGATCTATAAAAAACAAACTTGACGGGAGAATTGCGGTCCTGTAAGTAAACTCTGAAACATGCGTATGCACATAAACTGGACAAATGAAAAACAGCGACTCTGATGACAGAAGGATGAAATGGTTTGAAATGAATAGGCCAACTATTGTGTAAAATAAATTGAAATATTACCTCTGAGTATTGTAGTCTTAAAGCCTTTCTGAATAAATAAACACCTGTTTGATTGACTTTCCCTGAAGTGCGCAAAAAAACACACAATTTATCACTTGCAGCGCACAAAAAGATCCAGATTTAGGATAATAAACGCAAACGGAGATATCTGTTGATGCCTCAAATATGTTGTACAGTTTAATCCAGAATCATATTAATTAATACTTGCATGTTGAGCAAATAGTAGAGCATAGTTTCACAGATGTTTGTTGCCTTTTTGAACCTAACGCTGTCCGCCAGCATGTGTATATGATGCGCTGCTTGTAAAAACACATTATTATTATTTACTCTCTTTTCAAACAGGGGAATCCAGATTAGTACATGGGTCATCCCGTCTTGCATCAGTGCCCCCCCCCTCCAGCCAGTGACGTAACTACTCAGGAGGGATGCCCCTTCCTGCAGATCGGTCCATTTATATTTACTGACCATTTATAGGCAACTATGGGCGTTTGAAGGGTTGGACATGGAGCTCCCTCACATGCATCATATTTCAAGTTGATTTTGATTTATAAAGGGAAGTTGCTTACAAGTGTGCGTACGCACGGTTTTATAAGTCTGAATATTTTTTGGTGTACACCGTTTTTGGCTTTTGGGTGCATGTACACTTTTAGTGAGGTTTCTATGCACAGTTTTATAAATGAGACCCCTGTTTCCTCTGCTTGAAGGCACTATACTAAGACAAGTATGAGTGCTGAATTGTACTTCTATATCAGGGAAAAGAGTCTTGTAATTTATTAGTTTCTGAGTCTGTTCCTGGAGTTCAGACTACGTTGTTTTTAATTTGCAAATGTAGGTCATGGCTTTGGGTGGAATCACACACACACACACACACACACACAGTAACTGTGCTCAAGTGATGGCCTCCTTCCTTCCTCTGTTGTTCTCCATTTGTGCCTCTCACACAGACATGCATTGTGTGTGCACAGATGCACTGTGGGTAAGATCCTTACTGTCATAGCTTCCCTCAGGCTCTTACTCTGCTTCATCAAAATGTTGCAGGTGTGTTTCACTAAGATGTGCTGCTGTTTAAAAAATAACTGTTTAAAATTGTAATTCCCCCATTTCTCTCAGTACAGTACAAGTACATCTCATAATTCAAATGTACAATGTAGGTTCACTTGACCGATTATAGCCCTGGGGTGATTCAAAATGGGATTACACTGCTTTTCTAATTAACTGTTACTTACACACATGTACATGAACATGCTTATTGTGTAAAAGCACATATGCAATATAGTTAAGCCAAACATCACCTATTTCTGTTATTATTGCACTACATTTAAGTATGGCTCTTCCGCCAGTGTGTGAATGTTAGTTTCTGTTTGAGCACTTAGGCTCAGTGAATGAATGTGTGTGAATGGTGAATGCAGATGTAGTGTAAAAGCGCTTTGAGTGGTCGAAAAGACTAGAAAGGTGCTATACAAATACGGAACATTTACATTTCACTGTTTTTTCCAGGGCTGGGCAATTGGTCAATTTAAAAATTCATAACAATATACCATTTTACCATGTGCTGTAAAATGTCAATGCTACTCTTCTCCAGTATACCATTTAACTCACCAAATGTTTATCTTTTCTTCATTAGGGTGGAGAAGTTTTTGTAATTCACTATGTTAAAATGAAAGTGTCAAACAATCAGAGTCATGCTAGAACACAAAATCTACTCACAATAAGAATGGAGTGACCTGCCAAGGGACTCTAGATGCAAATTAGCATGAAGCTATAATCTGGTACAGAGCGTCAAATGGTAACTTTTATGTTTTACTGTATGCTCTCCCTTTTAAATAAATAAATTAAATTTAGTGTCTTTTTCTGACTTCAGCATGGGAATGAGCCATGATGATGACCACGCCACCTGCACCGGTCATTCCCACATCATGTCTGGTGAATGGGTGAAAGGAAGAAACCCCAGTGACCTGTCATGGTCCTCCTGCAGTCGTGATGACCTGGAGAACTTCCTCAGGTGAGACACAGCTAGATACCACTCCCATGCTGTAAGACAAACTTCCCTGTTGTTCTCTGCTTTCCTTCTTTGTCTTTGTTTTTTCTTTGACCTTCACCTGACAGTAGTGTTGTAGTACTCAAGATCGGTCATGTGGTCTCAAGACTGTTTTTAAATCGATTGCATCCTAAACATAGAGAACTCTGAATTTTGTTCTCTGTGAGTTTATTTATTGGCCAGATCAGTATCTGTTACGTACTGTTTTGGTTCCATGTCTTAGTGTTTACTCCTGGTCTGTGTACTTGTACAGTGTTTGTGGTTATTTTGCCCATGTCTGCTCTGTATTCTGTTCTTAGTTCAGTCTGTTTTCCCTGTTACATCTGTAGACTTTCTGTACGATTAGTTTCTGTGTTCCAGTTTGTTTTTTCTCTTATGTCAGTTGCCAGTGCCTTGTGTTCAATAACCTGTGTTCTGTCTGTTCCACCAGTAATCCCTCTGTTTGCCTGTCTCTGTTTTGCCCTGCCGTCTCTCGGCCTGCCTGTCTCGTTAGTCCTGATCCCTGTCACCTACGGGGATCCCTGTCACCTTAATTTGGATTCTTATTTAGGAAAGCCTCAGCTCAGCCACTCTGCCTTGTAAGTGTGCTCGCCTTAAGTTTCTTAGTAAACCTCTGAACTGTACCTGCTCTGCTTTGAGTCCTGCATTTGGGTCCACCAACCTTTTCACCACATGCAACTGTGACAAAAAGGCCTATTTCTCTCTATTGTTCACAAATCTGTTAGTGACCACTTCTCCTTTGCCGAGATAATCCATCCACCTCACAGGTGTGGCATATCAAGATGCTGATTCAATTAAATTTTATTTATATAGCGCCAAATCACAACAACAGTTATCTCACAGCACTTTTCATAAAAGAGCAGGTCTAGACCGTACTCTGTGATGTTATTTACAGAAGCCCAACAATTCACACCAAGAGCAGCACTAGGCGACAGAGGCAAGGAAAAACTTCCTTTTAAGAGGCAGAAACCTCGAGCAGAAATATTGGCTCAGGGTGGGCGGCCATCTGCCTCGACCGGTTGGGGGAGGGAGAGAGGGAGAGAGAGAGAGATGGACAGAGAGGAAGAGGGAAGGAGGGACAGAGAGGAACAGAGAGAGAGAGAGAGAAGCCTACACAATATACACACACAGAGGTACAGACAGTACAGGCAATGTTGCTATAGACTAAATGAAAAATGGTACAGATATACTGTGTATATATATATAGTAGTGTTAATGATAATAATCGTAATGTTAATGATTATAATAACAATAATAACAATAGGACTAGTAACAATAGTTATAGCAGAGGGTGTCGAGCAGGAACACGGGGGCAGCAGGTGACTCGCAACCACAGATCCAGACTCCACAGCTCCAGAGCCAGAAACACCTGCAGGAAGTGATAGGAGGAGAGAGGAGAGGGACAAGAAAGCACAAGACTACCGGAAAGGGCAGAAGTTGTTTTAGTAACATGCATTAATGGGATGAGGTTGCGTAGAGAGGGAGAGAAAGTAGAGGAGAGAGGACCTCAGTGCATCATGGGAAGTCCCCCGGCAGTCTAGGCCTATAGCAGCATAACTAAGGGATGGTTCAGGACTAGTCAGAGTTGGTTTCTCAGCGGGTGTGTCGCTGAGTGGGGAAAATCTGTTAGAGGCGTGAACAGGTTGGTGATGACCCGTGGGCTTTGAATGCTTACGACTATTCCTCCTTTGGACAGTCACCCAGCCACCCCTTCCTGGTCTACCAAGGTGCGGAACCGGACTTCTAAATCACTGAGCCTCGCCTCCATGTCTACAAATAAACTACACTTATTCCACGTACCATTACCGCTAAAGGAGGCAGAGGAGTAACTGAACATTTGACACACCGAGCAGGAGAAATTAGGAGAGCGAGAGGGAGAAGCCATCGCTAGCTGCTAAGCTAAAGTCACGAACAGCTAAGCTAAAGTACTGTAGCGTTGGCTACCAAAAGTTTTGAACAACTATAAGATTGAACAGCAGTCACCAAAAGATGGAAAGAAGTGTGAGTGCTTAGGCAAAATTACTGTAAGAACAAGTGTTTAGCAGACAGTTGGCCGCTGTAATCTAACAAATTTAACTGATATTTAGCGAGAGCAGCACAACCCGCTACCAACACACAAGCACAGGAAACACGCTTACCGCAGTACGTCAGCAACGTCACCACCTGATCAGACAGCATGGGTATTGCACATGTGTGCCTTAGGCTGGCCAAAATAAAAGGCCATTAAATTACCATTAAATCTAAAATAGACTACTTCCTGTTGGGTTTAGGCAATGGCTCCAAGAGGCTTATTAGTACATCTGAAAATTATACATGTGCCACAGAAATTTTGTACATGTAGCTAAAACGTGCCATGGGGGCTGCTTCCTTGAAGGTGACTTCCTGTTGCTAGCAGGTGGCACTATGACTATGGGTGAATATTGGCATGTACATGTGTTCAGGACAGGACTCTTATCAAACATGTAAAGTTTGGTGCAGATGTGACACTGAAGTCAGCCAAGCTGGTCAACTGGTAACCTTTTATAAACAAATGTTTTGATAATAATTTTTCATAGTTGCTCTGTAGTTTTATTAACAGACTGAGCAGAATTGTGCTGTTTTCTAACAGTTTGGATTTGCATAAAATAAATAGTACACTTTTTCACTGGCATTTTGTATTAATAGTTAGACAGATATTGTGATGTATCACTTTAGGATTGTCCAGCAATATATCGATTATCGCTGCATCGTGATATTATTGTTATCGTGAGCCATGTATCGTGTATTGTATTGTATCGTATCGTGAGGTACCCTGCGATTCCCAACCCTTGTGAAGAGCCAGTGTTAGCGATGTTAGCTAGCTCCTGTTGGTTAGAGTAATCACAGAGAAACACTCCGGCTTTTTGTTTATTACAGAATTGTGTGTCTTTCTGTGAGGAACATCTTTAGAATCAAAGCTGGGGTAACTTTGCATTAACCAGCTAAATGTAATTGCTGTCATTAACACTGTGTGCTCACATTAAAACTGAGTAACAAACCAAAATCACAATTGCATCTAGTGCTCTCTTTTACCTTCTCTTTTACATACACACACATGCACACACCCAATTGGGTTGCCAAGTGTGAAAGGGTCAGCATGTTGCCAGGACTCTCTGTGGGGCCTGTATGAGCTGCACAACTGTCAATGGTGGCCTTTTTAACTATAGCATAATGGTCAAAGAATGGAAAATCTAGCTCAGTCCTTCTCTGCCCACTCTAACATCTAATTCTGGAATTGCTTAGAATAGTGCATTTGACTACACAAATGTGTGTGTAAAATTCCCTATAAGTTTTCCCTTATGTCACAGAAGAAACATTACACAAAGTCTTGAATGTTGTAAATTTCAAGGTACATTCCTTTAATGATACATGTTAACAGTGGTATAACAACTTTTTTCCCGCTTTATTGCCTAAACATATAAACTCAGCAAAAAAAGATAGGCCCTCTCACTTTCAACTGCTTTTATTTTTAGCAAACTCAACATGTGTAAATATTTGAATAAACATTCAACAACTAAGACTTAAACTGAATTAACTTTCACAAACATAAATTGAAAGATGTGTGCCTGAACAATGGGAAGTCAAAATCATAAGTAACAGTCAGTATCTGGTGTGGCCTCCAGCAGCATAAAGTACTGCAGTGCATCTCCTTCTCATCAACTGCACCAGATTTGCCAGTTCTTGTTGTGAGATGTTAACCCACTCACCAAGGCACATGCAAGTTCCCAGACATTTCTGGGGAGAATGGCCTTAGCGTTCAAGGGTACCATATGAGGGAGGAGGATGTCTTCCCTTTAAATTACAGCATTAGTCCGACCATCACCCCTGTTGAGTCAAAACTGCGTCAGTCAAGAGCATGTTTTTCCAATCTTGTCTGGTCCAGCGAAGGTGGTTTTGTGCCCATAGGTTACCAGTGATGTCTGTTATGGACCTGCCTTACAACAGGCCTACAAGTCCTCAGTCCAGCCTCTCTCAGCCTGTTGCGGACAGTCTGAGCACTGATGAAGGGATTGTGCGCTCCTGGTGAAACTCGGGCAGTTGTTGCCATCTTGTCCCTGTCCCACTGTGGTGATATTCTGATGTACCAATCATGTGCAGGTGTTGTTACACATGATCTGCCACTGCGAGGACAATCAGCTGTGTTTCCTATCTCCTTGTAATGCTGTCTTAGGCTTCTCACAGTACGAACATTGCAATTTATTGCCTGGCCACATTTGCCGTCCTCATGCCTCCTTCCAGCATGTCTAAGGCACGTTCATACAGATGAGCAGGGACCCTAGGCATCTTTCTTTTGGTGTTTTTCAGAGTCAATATAGACGTCTCTTTAGTGTTCTAAGTTTTTATAACTGTGACCTTAATTGGCTACTGTCTGTTAGCTGTTAGTGTCTTAACAACTGTTCCACAAGTGCATGTTCATTGATTGTTTTTGGTTCATTGAACAAGCATGAAAAAACATTGTTTACAATCTTTACAATAAAGTTCTGTAAAGTTATTTAAATGTTTACATAATTATATTTGAAAAACAATGTCCTGAAAAAGTTATGTTTCTTTTTTGCTGAGTTTATTACCTACAACAGAAATACAGTCATTGGAAAAGGAAAACGGTGTTTTGAGCTAATTGCAGATACATGATGTGTATGTGTGATTTAGAGGTACATGCAAATATGGAATGAATGGATTGTGGAGGATGGATTAATGCATGTAGAGGGGAAGTGTGCTGGTGGAAGAAGGATGTCGTCTGGCTGGTCTGAGAGGGTGTACAGAAGACCGGGCAGAGAGACTCGGTGTGGGGGTTCCGTCTCGGAAGTGTTTTCACCCAAGCTTATTTCAAGCCCCCAAAAGTGTCAGATTAAGGTCGGGTTCGAGTTCCTCGAGCTTGGGTTACAGCGGAGGAACGGACTTGGAATGAAAGAGCATTTGTGCTGAAATGAGGTCCTGAGAGGAGA